AGTTTTGAAAAACCACGTCGAGGACTTGCCTGAGAGGTAGGTAGGTGTTCGCAACCTCATCGCCGTGCCAACACCCCCGTGCCTTCTCTCGCATCCTTACGGTAGGTCGTCTCCGAATTCTAGACTGCGCAAAGACACCACACGTAGAAAGAACCCAATTTCTAGTTTGGTGTGTGCTTTCTGCCTCTCCTTTTTTCTGGGATCTCGACCGTCGCCATGTGCCGTTTGTTAATGGCATGGTACCGGGCGGTGCCCGACCCATCTCTGATCACATGACTCCCTCGCCCTGCCTCTTATGGAGTGACAGCAGTTGTTCGGTTAGCCTTAGTTGCTGTTTCTCACGTTAGGTCAATGGTAAGTACGAGGAATATACCGTTGTGCGTCGTTCTCTTTGAGGTCCTCTCCGAGTTGTGAGAAGAGCCTCAACCGCTCCCCCGAAGACATCGGAACAAGTANTTAATAGTTGCTGTTTCTCACGTTAGGTCAATGGTAAGTACGAGGAATATACCGTTGTGCGTCGTTCTCTTTGAGGTCCTCTCCGAGTTGTGAGAAGAGCCTCAACCGCTCCCCCGAAGACATCGGAACAAGTATATGTACTGCTGTAGAGCGGCGCTCATTTTTTTTTCCGCTGCCCGCACACTCCCTCTGCCAGATACCACCTACCATCCGAAGACATCGGAAGAAGTATATGTACTGCTTTAGAGCGCTGCTCATTTTTTTTTTCTGCTGCTCGCACACTCCCTCTGCCAGATAGCACGTACCATCTACAGTAGTAAGAATAACAGATGAAGTTACCACCACGTTGCTTTCGCGATTTTCAGGTGCGAGCCCTTCTGGAACACGTGGAGCTGGAAGGCAGGGTACTCGATTGCTGTGGTGCCGCCCAAGACGCAGTCTACACCGTCCTGAGTTCACTCGGTCTCCGTGTTGCAACAAACGACATGAACCCGACGTACGTGTGTGTCTCAGGTCGGCTTCGGTGCAACCAAGCACTGGATCCGAGGTGCTAGCGTAAAGTCGGTAGGCTGTGCTCAAAGACACATAGGGCAATGCTGAAAAGTGCCCATCCATGATACTGGCCACTATTCAAAAGTGGCAAATGTTCAGTTTTCACGTTCAACTTTTAACTTGAAATCGTTGGCGGCACTTTTTTTTTTTACCTCCCTGCCCCCAGACTGGTCGCAGATACGCACCTGGACGCCGCCACAGACGCGTTTGTCAAGGCGTACGTCGAGGAAAGGGTGCGTCCGGACTGGGTCGTGACGAGCCCACCCTACAAGTACGCCTTCGCCATTTTGAAGCAGGCGATGCGGGTCGGGCGTATGGGAGTAGCCTTCAAGCTGAGGTTGACTTTTCTGGAGCCCACCAAAACCAGAGGGCGGTGGCTAAAGGAAAATGCGCCTGACAGGGTTGTGATGCTCCCGCGCGCTACGTACCGCGGAAGAGGATGTAGCTCTACTGAGGCGTGGTTTATATGGGAGACAGGGCGGGGTGGCGAGGAAGGCCGCAAGCCTGTGATTTGCTTTTCCTTGCCTGACGGTGCTCTCTAGAATTGTAGGACCTAGGTGTGCTTGTGTGAAGGTTGCATAGCAATAGCCCAAATGTAAGCGAGTGTCAGAAGTATAT